TAATCGAACCACTGATGATTTATTTGTCCTTCAGTTGCGAAATGGAAAGTCGCATAAAATACAGCACCGTCAAATGCCGTCAAAACAGTATTGAAAAACATTTATTACTGAGAAAAATTATTTGATTCATATATGGCAGTTTCTATTAGATTGAATTGATCCCTTTCCATTTTCCTCCATTTACATGAAAGACTGTAACAATGATGGTCATTGTGAATGAGTCTGAAAATTATATTGCACAAATCGTACTGCTTCTAGATAAATAAGTAGTTACCATGCAGTCAATCCTGATTCATATGAAGATTTATGCTTAAAGCAGATTTAAAAAAGTAGAATCTTGATGCGCTCAACAGTTTATGCAGTGATCGTTAAGCATTTCATTCGTGTACCGAATGCGAGCTTTTCTTTCTGGCGTCATTGCAACAATATTGAATTCACATTGAAACAAGCGCCATTTGGTGTACTCACCTGCACGCCTTTATTTGTCCACTCTGACTTGGCCTTTGGTTCCACATTATCTTCAATCAATGTCTGTTCAATGGCCTCGGCACTGATGAGTGTGTACCAGCCCAGCGAGTCCGGTTCAAAGCTGCGCTCTTTCGATGGGCTTAACAAGCCGTAAATGGCAACCTATTCCAGATTTGGAGGGAAGCACATCTCACATCAAGATGTTTGAATTCGAGTATCGAAAAATTGCAGCTAATTGACTTTGTTATGCAGCACAAAAGCTCACACAGAAATGTACACTAGTATACCAGGATATATATAATTAGTTTTCAACGAATGTTTCTGGTTACAGATGGAGAAACAAATTGTCCTTTATGTTGGAAGGCATGTTCTTATGGTCCCGACAAAAGCACTTGCATTGAATAAAATTCTTAAGTTTGATACACCTACAGTAATCTTGGAACCCTTGATGCGATTAACTTCTAGCTCTAGACGATGTTTTTCAGAACATTCATGGCTTCATTTTTTCGCAAAGTTGTTTGTTTTAACTGGATGGCCTGGAACATACTGAAAACCCGGTTACTTCAGCGATTTTCACTGCTTCCAGAAGTTGACTAATGCTGCGAGTTAAATTCCCAAACCAAAGATAAAGATGGCATACAAGTGCACTCCTTGGTATTCAGATCTTCCGCTTTGACAGATAACAGTTTAATTAGTCGCCTAATAGTTTTGAACGAGCGCGATCTTGAACTTGGAATGATTTTAACACATTTCTTTGGTGAACTGTTGTGTGGAGCAACAGGTATACAGCACTCTTTGATATTTGACTGTGGCTTTGTAAATCAGCTGGTAAAAGTTGTTCTCCAGAGTGGAATTACAGTTTCACCTCTGTAATAAAACGTACCCCGTATGTTGTGTTGGGCTGTAAATTTTCAATGGTCCATTGAAACGGCTTTGAATCTCGATTATCTCCGTTCCAATGCCATGAACCAAGAAATGTTTCTTGTCCCATATGGTGAAGCATTATATCACTATTATTTCTTGTGCCATCATCACCTCTGGTGAAAGCAATACTGCTCGTGTGATCTGCCTCCTGACGACAAGTTCGCCACCGGGACTTTTGTGGATGGGACGAGTTCGCATCCGACAAGAGCGGGGTAAGCAAAGCATGGAAGTGAATGTAAATTGCTCCGATTTCCAGTTGCGGAGGAAGGTCCCAGTTTGACACAGTAGGCAGTGTCCATTCTAGTTTAAAAGTTGTTTTATTCTGAAATGAGTTCCAATGAGCATTGAAAAGGAAAGAAAAACAAAATAAAAAGCTACTGGATAAATTAACGATTGCACAAAACTATGGTTATCAAATGAAGAAAGCCTACATAGGCGTAAACGTTAACCATAAAGTAATAATTGCTCATCTATAGTTGTTGCTGAACTATAGCTGGAACACTGTGCAAAATCATTGAAGCAAAGAGCCAAAACCACAGGGAGTCTAGCTCCGGTATCCTGCTAGTGAGGACGGAGGAGAAAAGGACAGTTCTAAAACCGTTATGATGAATAAAAGCCAAAATACAAAAAATTGTGTCAAAGTTTAGATTGTTTTCGAATGCCTTGTTAAATGCAACCAAAGTAAAAATCCCAGATCTAAAATAAGTGTGATTATTTTACGTTACCGAAATATGACATGATGTATGTTTGGATGAGTGGAAACAAGTCGTTGGTGGTGCATATTTTTGCAATAATTGGTGATCATACACTGAGACAGATCACTAGACAACCAAAGCAGCGCATATCTGAACACGTGTCATTCAAAGCAGTCATTAAGAAAAAGGAGTGAGATTAAAGGTGCTTGAACGTGATTCACTGGGACTTCACATCAGGGAACCAGATGGGTTTATTTACATAACCATATTGTTCTAGAGCGAGAGTTTCCATCCTATAAGTAAATAATTACAATACAAACAGACCTTGGTTATTGCAGACGCTCAGCAGGGCTCTCTTCTACCTGGAACTGACTTGTAACTGTTCCACACTCCCAGGGATTAGTACATTCACTGGTTTTAGATCATTTGTTCCATACTGTCACACTGAACCGAAGTATGACATTCGCACTCACACTTGAACCTTCACCGACCTGTTGCCGTATCTCCAAACACGCACAACCAATTACATTACATGAATGTGAAGTGGGAACCCTAATCAACTTCCATATACGAGTCTTTCCTTTTTTAGTTTCAGTTTCTTTGATTGAATAAATCACGGTACAGTTTTCACGAAGGGGGTAGCAGTTAGTCAAAGGGCTACCATACAGCATACGATGGGGAAAGTCAGGCGGGATTCGAACACACGTCCTCCGGGGTGATAATTAGATGA